TCTTTCCCTGTGCTTCCCTACGAGAGAAGTAAGTAGCAAGAGAGGAATTCTCTCTCCTCATCTGAGTCATGCAACTCCTCATTCCAAAACTGCAGACAGTAATTAGGTCTGATTTGATGCATGATCTCACTGTTGGTGCTGGATGCCCTGTACAATGCTTCTCCTTCAGTGAACTGTCAATGACAATGGCATTATCAATATTCACTCTGAGCATCCTCCAGGGAAAGCTAATGAAGCACTCTTTACAAGCGACTGATGTCCTTTATCTTCTCTCAAGGAAGACTCAGCCTCTTAGAGCCATCATGAAGTGCGTCATGTGGAAGTCGGGCAACTTGCCCACAGCTTATTGCCCTTACTCAGATGTGAAACTGTCACTTAGACACTTTCCTCTACCAAAATGTCAAAGGCATTTTCCTCAGGGGACAGTGCACACGTCATCATGCAAAGCAAAGAAACAGCTCATCCTAAACAAAGGTACAAACCCCTGAGCACATGGGTGTGAACTGCACTTTGAGAACTCGGGAATTGGCTTAATTCTTATCAAAACTATTTTGTGGGGAAACTTAAGTTTTATTCTAATAGACTTTCTTTCAAGTGCCTCAGTGCAAAATTAGAGGGCAGCAGTAGGCCAGATAAATTACTGCGCAATCTCTTAAGTAGTAAGTGTATGTTATCCTATCATAAAGTAGTATTTTTAGTTATCAAAAGAACCAACTATTCCTAGCTTAAAATGGTGGCTCGTGAAGAGTAAGTTGCTAATGAAAACTTAAAAGACACAACAAAACCAACCACCAAAATTACACGAAAACAGTAAGGATGGAATCTAATCTATAATGCAAAAGTTCTTTCCCCTGTTTTAAAGTGCATTACGATAAGTAAGCACAAGATGCTATTTCAGTTGAGTGTTGTGACAGTTGGCAAGAGCAGGAATTTCAGAGAAGATGTGATTTAGCAGCAACATTTGTACGAGGGACTTTTTCCTTGATAAAACTTTGGATGTAACTTTTTGGCTTGAATTTAGTAATTTGCAGATGAGCTTTTTTTATATAAATGTGTCCAGCGCTTCCTTGAATTTTACTAGAATTTTTAACTTAACATCCCTTTTTCAATGGGTTATACCTGTTGGCGGGTGTGACAGAAAACATACCTGTAGTATTGCTTGCTTCCTGCTAGGATCTCGCATATCACTTCTCATTTTAGCCAATTACTCAGCTTTGTAACATGATTATTAGATCTACTTTGCACACCGAAATAGCTGCCTTGTGAAATCGTGTGTGCAGGAAAGGTGTATGTTCTGTAGAACCACTGTCTGTGTGTTTGGCTGTGCACAGTAGTATTTGTATCTTCTGAATTTGTCTCAAAGTTATGTAGGATCTCTGAGAGGTTCTGACCTCGGTTTTCTTGTTCTGTGGTGGGCTGAAGGGGCAGAGGTGAGTACGTGTGCTCACTGAAGACATACCTCTATGTAAAAGAGGATGGCAGCAGGTCCACAGACCCTTCTGAAGATACTCTGCTGCAGGACTGGCAAACTGTCCAAAAACTCTCTAGTAGAGGATCACAGCTGCCAAAACATTGCTCCTTTGTAGTATAGTTTCCACCAGTTTGGGAGGAAAAAAACCTCTTGATTTTTGGCTCTGCTGGGCTGGCAGACTGTAGTCTGGGTATATTCTCCAAGTGAAGCTTGACAAACTGGTCCTTAAATCCCCTGTCCTCTCAGCACTACAGAATTAGCAAACTGAAGCTTCACACTGTTGGACATGAAGGAAAGTAAGTCTGGCATGACTGGAGCTTGGAAATACAGCACATCTTATGGGAATCAGGTTCTGGATAATGCAGCTGCAAACAAAGGAGCAGAGACCAGATCTTGAAATAAGGTTTCTTCCACCAAAATTGTAATGGAACTAACTATGCAATTGCAGTTTATTTTTAGAACTGCAATTATGAGAGCAGGGAAGAGCTGATTCTTTTCTTGGTAGTTGGGATGATGGGGTGGGCAGCCCAGGCTGTTGTCTTGCACTTGCTTTGGCTCAAAGTGAAGGAGTGCTGAAATATTAAAGCAGCAAATTGCAAAAGATGGATGAGGTGTTAGAGGTGTCTTCCAGATATCCCTGTCTGAAACTACTTTATACTCTGTTAACTGCAGGGTGCAGATATTGGACACCTATTAAGAGTTTCCTGTCTCTGAAGGTGGCCCCGTTTCACTGTCTGCAAAGCAAGAGGCTAATGGCTTGCACCTAGAGAGGGCATGGAACAAAGGCAGTTTTGTTGGAGGTGTCCTTGTGCTTTTCTTTACTTTCCTGTTCAGGTGTTCACATTTGTGTGCTTATTTTATTTACCCGAGAGCCTCAGGATCACTCTCATACCCACAACTGATACGAGAGGACAAATTTCAAGTAGTTCTGTGGAAGTTCAGTGTGTGGGCAGGAGCTACGGACTAATCCAAGAAGTATCCTAATGATCACTGGCATTTAAGTGCCCTACTCAGCGTAGGCAGTAAATGAATGGCTCACAAAAGCAGACTTTAATTTTTCACTTTGCTTTCCAAGTGCATAATCCCTTTAATCCTTCACTACTTGGAGGTTTTTTGTTAATTAAATGGAATCTCTGTGATTCATATTCCAGGACAAATATGTGTACTTAACAGGGGGAAAGTTGGCATAGGTCTCACTGGGCATCTTGAAGTTTAAAGCAGTTCCTTCAAGGTTATTTGGTAAATGAATGCATGTTTCTTGGCAGTCAGCCATGTGGAATCTTCCCTTCACTGTCTGAGATGGATTCCACTGTATCAAATAGTTCCCACTACGAGCATGAACTGATTTGCCCTGTGGTGACTGACTGACTTTGTCTGATCTGACTAGAGTGGAAAGCTGTTGCTGGGGATGGGAGTGATCAACAGGATTAGGTGAAGGAAGCAGATACCACATCCTCGTCTCTGATTTGCCAAATTGAATGTTTCTTGCTATGTTGGAACTAAGTAATGGAAGCAAAGTCCTCTTTCCTGCAAGAATTCCCAGGGCAGATTGACAACATAAAAGAGTTCTGAAGAGCAGTTATATGCATTTTTTTATGAGTAAAGCTCGTAACAGATGGAACCAACTGGTTATTTCTGAGCAGAGCCTGTAGAAAAGATGCAGAAATAAGGAAAATCCACC